ATATATTATATATATATATAATATATATATATATACATTGAGATGTGATTTATATACCTTTTTTATTTTAAAAAATTATATTGACGATAAAAAAAATTAAATCTAAAAGTTTTTTTTTTAACCAACTCCGACCACATATAAAATTGCGAGTTATTTACAAAAATAATATTATTTTAAAAAATATTTACCCAAATAATAATTGTGTAAATTTATTTCCCAGACTAATATTATTCACTGTTCACATTTTAGAATGGGCCGTTCTGATTCTAGAACGGGTCGTTCCAGATTAAAAAATAATACATGACAAATGGATCAGAACGGGTCATTCCGGATTCAAAAAATGCACATAAAAAGTGGAACCAGAACGGGCCGTTCTGAATCCAGAACGGGCCGTTCTGGCCTGTAGATTCAGACTTTTTTTTCCCCGATTTTCACTTATCAATTTCTAAAACTCAGAGACTACCATCAAGTGATTAAATTTATTGAATATTAACATTATAAATATAACTAAAATTAGTTTATTAAAATTCAATACAACAATAAAGATCAGTGGGGAAATAAATTTGCACAGTTGCTATTTGAATAAATATTTTTTAAAATAGTATTATTTGAGTAAAAAACTCTAATCCAATTTTCAACTTTCTCATAAGCTAAAACGCAAAAAAATAAATAAATAAATAAATAAATAAATTAACAGTGCTCAGAATTCGATTCTCCGGGAACCGAATTCTGAGTGTGACCAGTAAAGAAGTCTATTTGAGTAAATAATGTGTAATAGATATTTTTTTGGTAATTTTTTTTTTAATATTAATTGAGAAAAAAAGTCGTTAATGATGTTCTCTGATTAAAGTTTGAATTTTATTTTAATAACATGCGTTTATATTTAATGTAAATAATATACACTTATAAATATTTGAGACAAAATTTTAACCTTAGTTAAAAAAAAACATCACTAAAAGTACCTTATATAAAGTTTTTCCCATTCTTGAATTGTGTGAACTATGATTAGAGTTGGTGTTTCAATAAAAAGTGATCATGTCCAACAAGGTGGGCCTATGGGCGGTGCAAGTAGAGAAGTTGATTAGAAGCGAATCCCAACTCCAAGAAGGCCAATTTGCATGGAGAGACTATTATTACTAACCAATGCCTTAAATGCAAGTTGGAAATAATCCCATTCTTTTAACTTAAGTTTAAACTCTAGATTATGACATATAAGTCAGTAATATATATAAATTTTTATATATTTAAAATATTTTCATAAATGATTAATTAATTTAATTTTTTAAAATATAATATAATTATTGAGAATTAAAGGTGATATGATTTTTTTATAGTTATGAAAAAAGGTAATATGATAATTTAAATTTTACACAATTATATATAAACTTTTACACGATTTTATTGAATTAATTAGTTTAATTAACACAAAATCCGTAGTTAATTGATCATTAGTTATTAACTTTGATATATAATTTGTGACACTCATCTATCTTCCAAGAACGATACCAATTAAGATACATTGAAACTAATAAAAATCTCAACTCATCCTCATATGAAATTTAAAAATAGAATAATTCAGTTCATTGGAAAAATAAATAAGAAAAGTATTAATAACAAAATTGTAATCCAAAAATACTAAAATAACAAAGAAGTAATAAAGGCTCTAAACTATTCCAATTCCCCGATGTCACATTGGCATTAGGACTTCATACACACCTAGACTTCTCCTTGCTACTCCCAAGATTGAGGATCCTTGTCTGCAAAACATACAAAACAAAACACACCAACAACAAATAGGGAGTGAGAACAATCTCACTTTATAAGGAATTGGCTGCAACCCTCGGCATCTCATCCCTTCACAATAAATAGTTATGACAATAACAATTCATATTTCAAACTATAATAATCACAATTCATACTTCAAACTATAATAACAACATCAACCATTCACAAACACACAGAAATGTGATGCAATGTGTACCTACATCTAAATGCATGGGGTATCTGGCCATCATCATCAAGAATATATAGTTGGTACCTAAGTCCCGAGTTAACCTTAGGCTACCAACATAGGAGTGTTCCCACCAAAACACCAACAAGTTTCCACCGAAACCATAGAAGCAAGTTCCTACCAGAATCACAGAATCATGCAAATAAATGATGCATGTCACCATCATGCAAATGCTTCCATATCAATACATCATGAACATCTTATGATTCACCGCTTCACCAACATCTATACTCATCCACGTCCAAATGTCACTCATAGAGATAAAAATCATATTTCATCACACATTGCTTAGCCTCTCCAGGCCGCCTGTTGAATGCTGAGTATTATTATGTCTGGCCTCTCCAGGCTGCCTGCTGATGTTGATGATGCGATTGCCCTTTTTCTATGGGAGGACG